ACACACACATCAGTGATGAAAGTTAGCTAAGTCACTCCAACATCCACCACCTTGCTTTTCCAAAGGAGATATTCAAACCCATTTTCTGTTTCATTCATTTGTGCAAAAAGACTATGCATGGAAGAGAAATGCATCTCTTTATGTAAACATTGCATTTAATGCACATGATAGTTTTTGAAAAATTCATCACACTGTGTAGACTCCAACACACTTATTGTGCCCATTTACAGTTATGGTGTTTTAATAATTGGTGTCATCAGTTTTTGACAAAAGAAATTCTTGATCTGGAGTGTGATGCTGTGAGGGGCTTTATCCACGATGAAAAGGTGTATTCTGGATCTATTTATAGTCTTATGGTACATGAAGGGCTGCAAGACAGGTGTGGCTACCACCAGATGCTCTCCAGGTCTCCTTGGGGGGGGGGGCTAAGTAGTCACGGAATAAATGTGCCACACAGAGGATGATTCTCAAGTCCGACACATGTTGAAAGCACAGCTAAACCTACTGATGTTTTTATTTTGTTTTGTCTTGTTTATTCAGCACATTGGTATTTGGAGTGAGTGGCCTATGGTCCCGCCTGAGAGTATACAGTCAACATGAAGACTTGTCGTGATAGTTTATGATAACAGACTCGTGGATTCGTGATAGTCATCTCATTGGATGGAGCTGGCCATCTTCAGGAAATTTTGAATGCTTTTCCTAACGCTGGGCCAAAGCCTACCCCCGCCCCAGCACATCTTGTTTCCCCGCATCCCTTTCACCATAGTAGCAGGCAGAAGGTGAATGTGCGTCTTTTCAGCCATTACACCCACGCCTTACTGACAGAATCACTGTCATGAACCCATGCAGACTTGACAACATCTCTACAAGTTGAAAAGCAACCTCAGGATTGCACTAGTATGTGGTTTGCTTTTGAAACTGTGACTGTCCCTAGTCACCAAGCAAGAGGGAGAGTCTGCTGGTGCCTGTGCAGACTCTCTTCACCAGCTTATCCCAAGGTGCCCTCTCTGATGCCCTCTTTGGTGTCCTGGCTGCTGTGGGTGGCCTAGCAGCTCCCCTGGGAGGTTGGACTCAGTGTCACGCTCTTTGGTGTGTAAGGACCACTTGTTCTGAAATTAATTTGAGACAGAATTTTTGAAAGACTTTCCATGGAGAATTGTTTTGGTCTTTTTGTTGTTGTTTTGTTTTGTTTTTAGTTTTTTGAGACAGGGTTTCTCTGTGTAGCCCTGGCTGTCGTAAAACTAACTCTATAGACCAGGTTGGCCTTAAACTCACAAAGATCCATCTGCTTCTGACTCCTGAGTTCTGGGATTAAAGGCATGTGCCACCACTGACCGGCGAAATCTTTTAAATAAAAGTGAAATTTGGAAAAAAAAATATTGAGGACTTATAGACCTGCCATCTCTTAGTTAAACATTCATCCTGACAGGACTTTTTCTGGAGCTATAAGACAGCTTTGTTACAGGTGAAAAGTGTAACAGAGGCAGCAATGGTACCATAAAGGCTCAATACAGAAACCCCCAATATTCCAATATTTGTCCAAAGAATCTGAAGTTCTTTTTTGACAGACAAATCATAAACTGTGCCTTGGGAAATAGGTGAGAGAAAGACAGTCTCAGGCCATGGTGCTTGTTGTTATGTGTTGTCTTCATTCAAGAGTCTCCAAATCCTGCCACCACCAAGCTGAACCTATTGTTCCCAATGTCTCCTTAAAATAGGCCACATCCTGGAGAGATGGCTCAGCGGTTAAGAGCACTGGTTTCTCTTGCCAGAGGATCCAGGTTCAGTTCCCAGCACCCACATGGCAGCTCACACCTGTCTGTAACTCCAGTTCCAGGGGATCTGACTCCCTCACACAGACATATATGCAGGCAAAACACCAATGCACATTAAAAACATTTTTAAAAATCAGATTTTTTTAAAAAATAGACTACATCCCATTTCATGGAGGCTAAAACAGGCTTCAGGAGCTGAAGGGGAAAGTGGGGTGCAAGTCCTAAGAACACGTCTATAGCAGCATTCCTCCTTCTTGTCTGACTTCTCTCAGGAATACAAAAGCAAAATCGCTATCCTAGGTCCAGTACTGTGACACTCACCATCTAGCCCAGCACTCAAGAGGTCAAGCAGGGCCCGCCGCTTGTTGTACGTGTTGTATGAGACAGAGGACCTTTGTGAGTTCAAGTCCTTCCTGGTCTACTTTGGGAAATCCAGCTAGGACTACATAGAGAGAGCCTGTCTCAAACAGAACAAAACAAACAACAGTTAAAAAAAAAAACCCACCATCATGTAGGTGTTAGGACAGCTAATGGGTGGCAGCTGCTCCAGCCATTCGCTAAGTCTCACAGCCTTCAAAGAGGGCTGCAGCAAGATACTGAGCAGGTAAAGCAGTTACCAGGGGTGTCTGGCTGGTTAAATTTCTTTAACCGTAATCTTATCAAACTGTAAGTCCTTTGTTCACATATTAAATGCTTCTGTTTCCTTGTGTCCATTCGACTTAGTTTCCACAGAGCCGTGTCTCTTTTCCAGTCACTGATGGGAAATGGCACAAGTACTGTCGAGGAATACGGCCCCAGGCTGCTTGGGTCAGCTTTTCTTTTCCTCTTTCCCCTCTCTTTCTTTTATGTTTAAATACTCAGGATAGAAACCGGGGCTTGCACATGCTGGGCAAGTGCTCTTGCTCTGGGGTTAGGGATTTAACTCGGAGTTAGAGCGCTTGCCTAGTGAGTACTAGGTTCTACACCCTAAATCAATCCATCAATCAATCAAACAAGGATAATCCATCACTGAACTCTTTCCCCAGTCCCCTTCACTCTTTCTTTTTTTCTTCTTTTAAAATCTTTTAAAGTTATTTTGATCTGTTTATGTGTGTGTGTGTCTGCATGTACCCACGTGCATGGAGGTGCCTCCAAGGTAATAACAGGGCCATGGGGTCTTTGGAACTGGAGTTACAGGCAGCTGTGGGTGCTGGGAACAGAACCCAGGCCCTCTGCAAGAGAAATACCCTCGTAACCACGAAGATATCCAGCCTTCTTGTTACAGTTGTTACATTGCTAATTGTGTGATGTCGGGACAGTCATATAGTGTCTTCATGTTTCCGTCCCCTCATCTAGGAAATGGGTAGTGACAGCAGTAGCTCACAAGGGTGTCTGGAGGATTAAACTAACTTGATACACATTAAGCGCTTAGAAGTGTGGCAAATGTTGTCATAAATACAGGCGCATGCGGCCGTAGTGGACCTGTCTACCCAGAGGTATCCGCACAGCCATGCTTCCGTCTTCCCATCAAGGATTAATCCCAGCAGAAGAAAACGCATCTCTAATTCTTCATTTCACTTGGAAATGAGCGGCATGCAGGCCCCAGACTGGTCTTTGGGTCGTACAGAACAGCTTCAGGCTTTGAAATATCACAGATCCAAGGCTCATGTGCCAGAGGCTGTGATTTGATGGGAAAAGGAAGACTTAGATGTGGCTCTCAAGAAGCCATTCATGGCTGCCTTAGTGTACACTGATGCAAGAGTAGTAGCTGCAATCAAGTATTACCCTGGTTGAGTTATTTGGTGAGAATTAAATAAGACAAGTCTTGTCATATTTAACACGCAGCCTATAAATACAATGGTTTCCCCTCACAAAAGGAATGTAAGTACTACCACTTAGGAATCCCCTGTTGAGAACCGAGAGAAGCAGGGACTAATGCCGAAGTAGGACAGTTAACAGCCTGTGGCAGGGGTGCGGACCCCAAGAGCCAGTAGGTGTAACACAGACCATGAAGTTCCCGACTGCTCTGTTCCCCAGCTCTGTGGATGAGCTGTGATTTCTCCCAGTTCTGACAGCACTGGAACCTGAATCCATCACTTGTCTTGGGAGGGAGGCTTACTACTGGCTGCCCAGAGTTTTCACTAGCCTGATTGCTCTTATGTCAGTATTCATACCGAAGAGTGGAGTCCAGACATTTATGGAACACATTTATAAGGCATTTGATGGTTTGTTAATATTGCTATTAATATAATTGACCCAAGTGATGCAGTGACTTTGCTCCAGGCACTTCACTTTGGGTTATGTTTGTTTGTTTGTTGCTTGTTTTTGGTTTTTCAAGACAGGACTTCTCTGTATCTTTGGAGCCTGTCCTGGAACTCGCTCTCTAGACCAGGCTGGCCTCGAATTCACAGAGCTCTGCCTGCCTCTGCCTCCTGAGTACTGGGATTAAAGGAATGGCCACCACCGGCCCGCTTGGGACTTCACGTTTTAACGTTGTCTTCGCCTCTGGAACAGCAGAAGGTAAGTAGCAATTTCCTCAACTTCTTCCTCAGAACTTCTGCACTTCCGTCGTCCCCTGCCCTCGGGACTTTATCCAAATAGCGGAAACCGCGACTGCTGGCGACACCTTCCCTTCAAAGGACTCGGGAAGTCCCGCCTGCTACGGAAGCCGGCGCGGTCCTTCCGCGGAGCCCGTGTACCGATCTGCAGGTTCCTCCCGCTCGCAGTCCCCGGCCCGAGTAGCGCTAAGGTGAGGGCTCGGCGGTGCGGGGCTGAGGCGGAAGGACGTGTCCCGGAGACAGTCTATGCAGAGCACCCTAGGAGGACCGGTACGGCGGCCCCAGGCTTCAGGATCCAACCCAACTGCCGCGCTCCCGAGCCGCAACAATCCCAGCCATTTTCTCCGCGTAGGTGCGCACGCGCATGACCGGGGGGGGGGGGGGGGGGGCGGGATGTGGGGAGGCAGTGTGTGTCTGGCTTCCTGGTGGCCGTGTCCTTCGGGTGGGCGTGCCCGCTGCTGACCCTTAGAAGACCTCGTGAGGGTTTTTTGTTTTCCTTATTTTTGTCTTTTATTGAAACAGGCTCTCACTTTGTAGCCCTGGCTGTCCTGGAGCTTACTCTGTAGACCAGGTTGACGTCAAATTTATGGAGACCCAACTGCCTCAGTTTCCAAAGTGCTGCGACTAAAGGCGCGCGTCGCCGTGCCCGGACTTTTGAAACTCCTGAAAGTGGGGGTGAGAGAATCCATAGTTATAGTGGAGGCCAAAGTGGAGTCCACAATATATTGAATCTACTCGAGCCCATTCCTTCTGGAGTGAATAGGTGTCAGGATGTCAGGGCTTGGGACTATGAAGTGATAAATACCATTAGTATGTTTAGGATCCCTTCAGAAATTGTTGGAAAGCCTGTCCAATCCCAAGCCATAATTCATTTTATTATTATTATTTCAGAAAACTAAGTTAGCAACTCAAATAGCAATTTTTATATTGCTATAAACGTATATTGTAATACGTTACAGCTCAGAGATAGACTAATTTGATTCATACTAGAAGTAGAATGTCAGCAGGGACGTATTAAAAGTTGTGAACCGTAAGCACTTTGCAGTTCTTATTTTGTCATAGCCTTGAATCTGAACTGAGGTGTCTGAGGCTGTGAGCATTTGCTGGTGCTGTGTGCTCTAATGGCAAAGTAGGTGCGAAGCATGTTGTGGGTTTTGATGCGATCAGGCAAGCTCACTATTGTGGCCATAGATTAGGCTGTGTTGAGGACAAAGGCTACCGTGGAGTTGCTAGTTGCAATATGAGTGCATGCTGGTGGAAGCACCATGGGATCATTGTGCAGGTATTTGTGAGTTAATTTTTGATTCTTGCTCATTCCAACATGATATTTAATCAGCTGCCACATTCAGCTACACAGCCCCCAGTTTAAGAAGCAAATATTAAGCATTCATAAGTTTTGTTCTAGAGACGGTCTTTGCAGCCCCATCATCACTATCTTGTGAAGAATACAGTCTAGGCATCACACTGTAATCAGTTCCTTATCCATAGGATCCTGAGCCCAAGCAGCTCAGGTGTCCATTCATCATAAATTAGACTTTTGCAGAGTGCAATGCCGTGTTGTGAGGACCGCTTCTCAGAAATAAGAAGGTACAAACTAACAGGTGTTCTGTATCGGACACAGTAAGCCAGATCAAGCCGAATTTAAAAAGTAAAAGCAGGTCTATTTACAAAAAGCAACTTCCCAGGAGCTCTCCAGCCCCAGAGATTGAGGCGGAAGAAGTCACACGCCAGGACTAAAGCTGGAAGTGCATAGAGCCTCTAGGCGAGGGGTGATGACATGTCCGCCATAAGTTGGGTTTGTGCTCAAGTATGGTCAAAGGCTGACCACTTGAGGTGGGGACTTGGGGTGCTGGGAACTTCAGAGAAGGAGTTGCCGAGAATGCAGAGGGCTTTTGGTGCCCTTTCCTCCTTAGAGATTCTCTGAGAGGCTGAGGTTTGGAGGGAGAGAGAATGGGGTTTACTTTTTTGTTTTTGTTTTTTTGTTTTTTCAAGACAAGGTATCTCTGTGTAGCTTTGTAGCCTGTCTTGGCATTTGCTCTGTATCTGTAGACCACGCTGGTCTGAAACTCACAGAGAGCCACCTGCCTCTGCCTCCCAAGTGCTGGGATAAAAGGCGTGTGCCACCATGCCTGGCCAGGAATAGGGCTTTCTTGATCATGCAGGGGCGAGCTGAAGGTTCCAACTGAACACAGCCAGCTTCTTAATCTGGAGGCAGCGTGTGGCTAACCCCTTGGCATGCATCATCCTTGTACCTGAACGTGTTTGATTGTTGCCTAAATGTACCGTTTTCATTGGTGGCAATATGATGGTGGTGGTGATGATGATGATTGTTAGCACCATACTTGGAAGAGAGCTTTTCCTCATCAACATAAACAGACAGTTTTTCCTAAAGAGACAATAAACACCCAGCTCTTTCAGTCTCATTGCCATTTTACCAGTTTCCAGTGGGACTGGGGTGTGACAGCGACACACAGGGATAATTAGCAGCCTAAGAGATGTTTGCATTTTCAGCGTGTTGAAGGGAATTACAGCCGTTTTCCTTAACGTTTAAATCATGCAACTGGCTAGAGGGAGCCCCTTCATGCTGCCCAACTGTAAATGAAATATCACCGCCAAACAAAATTATAACCTGTTAAGGGAAATCTAGAAACCGAGAATCTGGTCTAGGAAGGGCTGTCTGTCAGGGTCCGACTGTCATCGTTAAAAAGACTGAAACGGGGGCAGGCAGGGTCTGCTGGCTACTTTGTAACTGATCCTAGCCTCGGGGTGAAGGATGGCACTAGTTTCCACACATGCCGCTCATTACATTGTTTCTACACCAAGATTTTCCAAGATTGTTGCTGCTGTGTTTGGGGGCTAAGGATTAAAACAGGGCCTTGCACCTTTTAGGCAAATGCTCTGCCGTGGAGCCAAATTCCCACGTCCCCAGTAAAGAATTCTGAATAATACATTCTTATGAATTTGTGATTTTTTTCCCCCTCAGACAGGGTCTCACTGTGTAGACCAGTACTCACAGAGATCCACTGCCTCTGCCTCTGAAGCGCTGGGATTAAAGGCGTGCACAAGAAGCACCATGAGAAGTGAGAACAGTACTTTTTATTGTTTGACTGTGGTAAAGAAGCATTTTTTTAAAAAAAATCAAAGTGCCATTATATATATTTCTTATATTTTTCAAGAGCTTGCCTGCATATGTATCTGTGCACCACATGTGTGCAGCCTCCTCAGAGGCCGGAAGAGGGTGTCAGATCCCTGAAACTAGAGTTACAGTTGAACATTTGAACACCGTATGAGTGCTGGGGATCTCGCCCTGGTGCTCTACCAGAGGATGAGACTCTTAACCTCTGAGCCCCTGAAATGACATTTCTACTTCATCCTTGTAAACAAACCCTTAGGTAAACTTGACTTTTGAGCTGGTACTGTAGGATCTAGGAAACAATAGATGTCACGAATGTGAAAGAAAAGGTAGAGAGTGAAGCGTCGTGCCGTGGTGCTCAGTCTGGTCACCAGCTGTACTAGGGATGGTAGCCGCCAAGGGACCATGCCTTGGTGTTGCCTTCCTACGCGTGGTTCTGATGGTCTGTGTGCCGTAAGGCGCCACAGCCTCGCCTGTACCACACTGTGCCATACTAGCAGACCATGGCTTCATCGATTGCGTGGTAATACACTTTCCCCATTACTTTATCAGGATGGCTGTTCTTCTGAAGAGGTTGACGCTGCAAACCTCAATTGGAAGATGTTTCAGAAAACCCATTGCGAAGCCAGACCCAGCACAGCTGTCCCTGGCTGCCTCCACCATGAAGCTCATGCACCTCACCTTTGCCAAAGGTTTCAGTAGTGCTGGAGATGCCCACAGTGAGAAGAGACAGAAGAGGAAAGATGCTTTTACTAACACTGGAAGGAAAATCAGCGAGCGGATTATCCGTGTCCTAGATGAGAAAGGCAGTGACCTGGGACTGATGCACCGAGCCGATGTGATCAGGCTCATGGACAAGCAGGACTTGAGGCTGGTGCAGAGGAACACCAGCTCAGAGCCGCCAGAGTACCAGCTCATGACCGGAGCGCAGATCCACCAGGAGCGGCTCAAGCTCCGGGAACAGGAAAAGGCCACCCCAAAAGCTGGTAGGTGCTTTAAATGTTGGTGCCTTGAATACATCAGAACAGTGGTTCTCAACTTGTGGGTCAAGATCCCCCTTTGCACAGGGGTATACGAAACAGCAATCAGATCATCTTATGCTTGGGGGTCACCACACCAGGAGGAACTATGTTAAAGGGGAGAACATTAGGAAAGTTGAGAACCACAGCTTCAGAACAATACAGCAGCACTCGCTCATGTTTGCCAAGGTGTCAGAGGGGCATGAGGAACCAGGAACTCTGGTGTGCCTGGTTTCACCATCATTGCAGGGAGGTGCACATCCCTCACTTCCGTTCCCCTCATTTTTGATGTCCCATGTCCATCACTTCTTTTTTAAAAACTGTCAAGTGTAGGGGGAGACAATGTAAGCCCGCCAGAGTGATGGAAGTCACCGTCATCTTGCAGCCTGGGCTCCAGATGCAGTGGCGAGCCATGTGGCTGACGGGGCAGTGAAGTGACACTCGAGAGAGAGGTTTTCCAGATCCAACCTCCCTCCTGTCATTTTGCTTTTCAAGCACCTTTATAAATGTTGGAACGGTTCACAGTACCCCTGGCCTGTGCACATGGCCAGTCACCTTCAGGCACCTGTCACGGAAGCCACCTGGAGACCAGGAACTGGGCACTGAATGAGGAGGGGTTGGCTTTTATGGCTCCCGGGTATGGAAGACTCCATTCCATGGGCTTCATGCTGTGACAAGGATTGGGGGACTGGTCCCACCGTATGAGGCTGAGTGCTGTGAGGAAAGCTAACCTGTTTTACACCCCAGGAATGCTAACCAGAAAACAGACGTTTATAGGAAACTAACAAGGTCAGGGAGGTCAGGGCAGGATATCAAACCATGTCACAGCCAGAAAATGTGCAGCAGGCCGGGAGCCTGGAGAGCCTGGCGGCTCCACTCCGTTCTCATAGAGACCCAGGGCCAACTGGTGGAAAACAAGGAGTGCTAGAAACTTTTTAAAGACCTATAAGAAAAGGTAATAAAGGTGGTCGTGGTGGCGTACACCTTTAATCCCAGCACTCAGGAGGCAGAACCAAGCGGATCTCTGAGTTTAAGGCCAGCCTGGTCTACAAATCGAGGTCCAGGATGGCCAGGGCTGTTATACACAGAAATCCTGTCTTGAAAATAAACAAAAATACAAAGGAAAGGAAAGGTAATAAACAGTTGTCTATCATCCAGAATCAGTGAATCTGGCTGTGATTCAGGTTTTAAAACATTGTGGAAAAGTTGGCGTCTCCTCCACCCTCCCAAGAGATGTTCTCATGGACTTAAGCCAGTGTTAATATGACTGATGTTCAGAAACAGTATGTAGATTTTTAAAATGGCACATCCCATGTTCACAGGATAGCTGTGGGTAAGTTATTGGATCTGATTTGTTAATCTATCTCCCTGGCATCCGGCCTCTTCCCAGTTCTTTATTCTTATGAGTGTTTGTGTGCACTCTGGGGTCTGTGAACCTAAATGGGCCAGGATGCAGCGCCTCTGTGTTCCCGGTACTGTCACAGTGATTTTCAGCAGTGACAGTGAGGAGCCACTGCTTAAGGTTCCCCTTCTGCTGTCTGAGCGAGTCTCTGAGTTGTCCACTATGTCCCAATTGTTTCTCTTGGGTGGTCTTCCTGCAGAGTCATAGCTCAGCCTGACACACGGTCTGGGGGCGGAGTCAGTGGGTGAGAGTGCTTGTGCACAAGAGTGGTTTGAATCACCACAACCAAGTAAAATCCAGTCTCAGCAGCACTCCAAGCCTGCCCCTTTGGGGAGATGGGCGCGGAGGCAGGAGAGTCCCTGGAAGCCCACACGCTAGTGACCCTGGTGTACAGTGTGCAAACAAGACTCTTTCTCAAGGGAGGGGAGGACCGCACGCACACACATCTGCACTCACAAGCACAAACGCATACACATGCATGCACACATACACACAAGCCGTAGCAGATTTTAACTATTAATTTAGCACATTAGAAACAACTAACCTTTATGCCTGTCTCCCCCATTTCAAAAATCAGCTGATGGTCCATTTCAGCTGAAATGAGATGCAGGCTCAGCCTGTGGGCCTCAACTCTTCCCAGTGTGTGTGGAAAGCTGTTTCAAAAGAAACAGACCCAGCAATAAACTTCACTGTTTCCACCCAGGACCAGCTGTGACAAAGGAACTCATTTTTTCTTCAAATATTGGACAGCATGATTTGGACACAAAGAGTAAACAGATTCAGCAGTGGATTGAGAAAAAATACCACGTTCAAGTCACAATAAAAAAGGGGAAAAATGCAGACCAGCCAGGGATTGAGCCGGTGAGTAGGTGTGAGCACCCGCTGGGTCTTTGTTCTCCCGTGCAAAAATACAACTGTTGAGAAATTGGAAGACTACAGGCAAAGAACTACTAGTAACTACCACCGTGTGTGGTACCAGCTTCCTGGTGTCAAACTGTACACCTACTATGTGTTTTCCATTATAATGTATTTGCCACATGTAACCTGTTCTGGGGACTAGAGATGGCTCAGTGGTCAAGAGCATAGACTACTCTTACCAAGGACCCAGGTTCAACCCCCAGCATCCACATAGCAGTTGACAAATTTCTAACTTCAGTTCCAGGGAATGACACCATTTTCTGGTCTCTGTGGGCGCCACACACATGTGGTGTACATACATACATGCAGGCAGAACACCCATACACAGTTTTTTAAGAATTGTAATATAAAAGCTATATTCTCTTTTAAAAATATAAAAAGTAGATAGTTCATAGGATTCTCTTCTATTCAGCTGTTCTCTGGAGAACTTTATTCCTTAGAGTCGCTGAAGTTTCTGCGCTGTGCTGTTTGGCTTTAATCCTAGCTCATTTTATCCACACCAAAGGTGCGCTGGTACAGTGGGCTTGCAGCCTAGGCTGCTTGCATCACATACTCGCAGGGCACAGCTCAGCTGCTTCCGACTGAGTCCAGGTGGGACCTACTTCCCTCCCTTCAGCATAAGGACGGTACTTTGCCAAGACCCAAAGCCAGTGCCTGATTTTGGGAAAGCATGGGCAGGCTAGCTGTGACAGAGCTGAGGCTGCAGTCTGTCAGTGTTGGCACACACATGGAGTGTGCAGATGTCTGTGCACAGCAGACATGGGAACTGCACGGCCTGTCACAGAAGCTCCAACGTGCAATGCTCAGTTTCACCACAGCGTCAGAGACAGAGTTTAAACTAATCTTGCACTGTTGTCCTTTGTAGGATGAGATATTTAACCAGATTCTCCAGACTATGCCTGGGATAGCAACCTTCTCAAGCAGACCAAAAGCCATTAAAGGAGGAACGGCCTCCACGTGTGTTTTTCGTCCCTTAAGCAAGAAAGAAGAGAAGGCATACAGAGACTCTCAGGAGGCGGAGAGAAGAGACACTCTGAGCAAGGACAACAGAAACACGGAGTCAGACGTTCTGTGTCACTGACTTTAATAAAAAAAATCCAGGCTCATGCAGAAGCTCCTGCTGGCTGCTCTAGAGTCCCTCATGTGGCCAGTGTTGCTCAGTGGAGGGGAAGTGATGCAGCTGGTGGGAGCGTCTGGCCTTGCAGGCTGCTGCTGGACTGTGCACTTTTAGGCTTGGAGGAGTCTGGCTCTTGTTTCCTTTTAGGAGGGAGGTACCCACTGAGGTGAGAGGCCAAGCTCCGTCTTTCCCGAGCTGGTTTTACCTTTGGGAGTAAGGAAAACAGACAACTGAATTCCCCGTCAGAATTGCTGTGTCACAGTCACATCCACTTCGATGGAGTCACGCCTTCAACAGGTGGACACACACAGCGGTGGGGGCAGGCCAGGGGGAGTCACACCTTCAACAGGTGGACATATATAAGGTAGTGGGGGCAGGGCCTAGGGAGGGGGCTGCGGGGGACAGATGCCAAGCAGACCTTAACAGCTGAGTGCTGGTCCAAGCAGCTCGACTTCACTTTGAGCTTCATCCTCTTCTTGTCAGGATCGTGTACAACGCTGTGCCTTATGAGGCTTTGCTGCCGTGCAGGAAAAAGAAGGCCACTTTAGAAACCTCTGGTCCAGGGCTGGAGAGGTGGCTCAGTGGTTAGAGCATGTGCCACTCTTGCAGAGGACTCGGGTTCAGTTCCCAGAAACCACATGGCGGCTCAGAACCACATGTATGCTGGTTCCAATAATTAAGCTTTTTAAAAATTAAAAACTCTTGGGTATCTGCTAACATTAAAATGTCATGAAATGCTGCAAACTACCAGCTGCCTTTCTGTTGTGGAATGAATCTGACTTCTACCCAACTCCCCAGGAGACTTTCACTCCTCAGCAGAGTGACATTCACAGTCTTTTCCAAGGGCCATGCTGGGAAATTTACTCCATTGCAGTCTACTGACTTAGATCTTGCCTGAGAAGGGAAGCCTACTGGGATTGAACTCCAGCTCGTGTTTGCTTAGCTGACTCTCTGTGGCATCCCTAAACGCCAGACTGAAATCTGGCCCCTGCCCTGCTGGCTGGCAACAGTGGTCACCACAACACCTGTCACAGTGTGGACTGATCTGAGCTATGCTTGGCGAGTTTACAGTCCATAGTAAGAGCTTAAGAGACCAGCTAGGCTGAAGCAAACAGCACAATCCCTTGCTAGGAACCATGTTCTCAACTGACACTGTGAATCATGCCAAGATCCCACAGTCCAGAGGTTGCCCATCTGTGGTACCCTCCTCCTTTCTCAGGCCCTACATGATGGTCTACAAGTTCACAGAGTATTGGCTCTCTAAGTAAGTGGAGATAAAGGAGCCTGGCTCTCCCACAGCACAGCCAGAATCCCCTAGAGCAATGGTTCTTAACCTGTGAGTCAAGACCCCTTTGGGATTGACTGTCAGATATCCTGTATATCAGATATTTACATCATGATTTATAACAGTAGCAAAGTTACAGTTATGAAGTAGCAACAGAATAATTTTATGGTTGGGGGTCATCACATTAGGAAGGATGAGAACCACTACTGTAGAGCACTTGTCGAAATAAGTTCATCACCTTCCAAACCTGGGGCTTCTGGCCCGGCTGGGTCAGAATGGGGACCTGGGGTTCTGCAGGCTGGACATGAAGACCACCTGTTGGAGCAGGACACTCACTTTCATTGCAAACGTCTTGCCACAACCAGCATGCTCACACACGAACGGCCGCTCTTCCTCGTGGAAGGAGAGAATGTGGCTCTGCAGGTTGAACACGGTAGTGTAGGTTCTCCCACAGCCTTCTCGCGGACAGTGGTACACATCTCTCTCAGGAGCATGAGTCTTCATGTGCTGCTTAAGGTAATCTTTGCGCTTGAACGTCTTCTGGCACACTGCACAGATGACTTCCTCTGGCGGGGAGACACTCACTTAGCCAACCTCTATCTATTACTGCACATCTAGTCCTGAGACTACACACAAACCGAGGACGTCAGAGGAAACTTCAACCCCTCGTCTCACTGCCGCTGGCTCCGAACCCCTCAAGTTCTCTCATGACTCCCAACTTCCCTGACTCTTCACTTGGCAAGGAGCAGGTGTCCCTACCATGGTGACTGGGCAGGCATCTGCCTCTGTCCTCTGAAGTGCAGCAAGGTTTCCCAAGAAGCCCTGCGGCGTTGCAGAGTCTCACGAAAGCCAAGTGCACAGCAGCACCAGCTTGGAGATGTGCAGCCCAGGAAGCCAGCACTACACATGACGCAGAGCCCTTCCGTTACAGCATCGGTGTGCGTTTCAGTCTTTCAGAGTAGGTCATCAGCTCCCCAGGGCCGATGCCCGCCCTCACCTCCATGTCCGCCTACCTTGATGGGCTTCCCTCATGTGCTTCAAAAGCTCTGTCCATGTTTTTGCCACAAATGAACATCCCTTTTGACACAGATAGCCTGTTCAAAAAAACGAAAAAACAAAAAAATTATCCACTGCCTATTCTGAAGGCCCAGTGCAACCCTGATGACAACCAGAAAGGAACCGTGTGCCCGTGTAGTCTTTCTCCTCTCTCAAAACTGTGCCGCATTGCTGGAGGCAATGAAGTGGGGGTGTTACGCTCACTGCTCTGGCAACTTCGACTGTCTAAACCTTTATTTAGCGCACGTTAGAGTAGCTAACTAGAAAGATGCACAGGTGGTACACAAAAGGGGTTATTAATAAACTCGAGGCACAGCCAGGTGCTTAATACCACACTGGGTTTAAATGGCAATGACAAGGGTCCTTGGTCACAGCTCTGTGTACTTAGTGTGACCATGGAGTGGACCAAGGATGCCAAGCAGCCTGAGCAGCAAGCACATCCTGCTGTCGGTGTGTCTCTCAGTGCCAGCATAGTGCCCGTCTATACCTACCCTCGTGAACCTTCCCATGCCGCTTCAGCCTGCTGGGTGAGGCAAAGTGCTTCCCACATCCCTCCTGGGGGCACCTGAGAAAGCAGCACAGGAAGCGTTAGCCAGTCCCTTACCGTGGAGAACTTGGCTGAGATCCTCTCACCGGAGCCCATCGCTTCCCACACCAAATCTGTCACCAAAATAAAGACTCATCTATGGCCCTAAATACGAACACCAGGGACTTGGCCAGTTCTGGAGCAAACCAAGCTATTTTGAGAAAAAAATCACACATCTTTTGTTTATGTAATCAAATTAAAAGTTCTCATAGTTCTGAAAATACCCTGCATTGTGGCTACAGAAGCTACTTCAGGAGGAGGCTGGCTGACTTGGTTTAGGTGACACTGGACCATCCTGAGCTGTCTGTGGTGTGGCCAACGTGCTACCCATTGTCAGATAAGAACATAGCGCAGGTCCTGGAGGTGCTGGAGACCAGCACCAGAAAAATACCAACAAGAGATGGTGTTTGAAGCTGGGCGGTGGTGGCGCACATCTTCAATCCCAGCACTCGGGAGGGAAGAAGAGACAAGCGGAGCTCTGTGAGTTCAAGGACAGCCTGGTCTACAAAGCAAGTCCAGGACAGCCAGAGTTGTTACACAGAGAAACTTGTCTCAAACAAACAAAACCAAACCAAATGGTGTTTGCTTCTGGGCATGGCCTTTGATCAATCCCAGCACTGAGGAGCAGGGACAGGACAACTGAGAGTTCAAGGCTAGCCTAGCTTTGCAGCAAGAGCCTGGCTCAAGAAAACAGAAAAGGGAAGCAACCAGGGAGGAAAGGTAGCCGGTAACAGCAGATGCAGGGCTGCAGGGGAGTGAGGAAAGAAGGGCCGAGTGCCAGCTCCTCAGCACCAGTGAAAACCGCACAGCAGGGCAGCGCCAGGGCCACAGGCCTGTGGGTGACACGGCACTGTCATTGCAGCAGCACAGGGCAGAGCGCAGCCGGTGGGAGCCAGAAGCAAGGCCCTGGTCAGCCCAACTGTGCAGGCAGACATCACACAGGCAGGCAGGCTCCCTGACACACACACACCTGACCACCACACCACACCCCAAGTGTCCTGAGTATTCAGGAAACCCTCAGTGCAGGCAGAGCCCAATTACTTCCGTTCTGTAGAGAAAGAGTCTTCAGGATGGCATGCCATAAAGCCGAATAGGCGGTTCCTCACCTTCGCTTCAAGCTTAGCCAGCATTCAAGACTCTCACAAGCTGTTCTCCACACACGCAAAATGATTTTTAGAGATGTGAAAACAAATATAACTGTTCAAGTCCCCATGGGCACACACGACAGCTCCGCTCAGGACCCTGATCTTTGTCCTTCACTCTGAACTGCAGTGTTGGCAAAGCACTGACCTGAAGAGCGGCTCGCCCGTGTGCTGGCACTGATGTGTTTTCAGCTGCTGGTGCTTCTTAAAGGCCTTCGTGCAACCTTCAAAATTGCACTGTGAAGAAATAAATGCACTGTTCAGTAAGGGAGAGACTCAACAGTTGCTGAAGTCCTCTCGAGGCTACAGATGATTCCGTGGTTAAGAACACTTGCTTCTCTCTCAGAGGACCCAGGTGCAGACTCCAGCACCCACCTGTGCTTCACAAGCACCCTAACTCCAGTTCCAGGGGAACTGACACTCTCTTCTGACCTCCACAGGCACCAACATGTGTGTGGTGCACAGGCACATATGCAGGCAAAACACTTGCACATAAAATAGAATGAATAAATATAAAACTTTTAAAATTAAACAACAGTTTCTCAGGATCTAAGTGCCTCCGGGAAGTATAAACTTTACCCACTTAGTCCCTGTGAAATGCTTCATCTCAAAACTTAAAGAGCAATGACATTGAGAAAAGCAAGCATGCTTCTGCTGGGGTAGCCATCAGTAACACAGGGTGCCCAAAGTGAGTCTGCAAAGTGGGGACTTACATGATGAGGACAGCCAATGCTGGGCCTCGCAGACCCAGCAAGAGAAAATCTGCCTTCTGCGAACTCACTTTGGTGGCAAATGTGAAAATCGTCAGAGCTGAGGCACATAAAGCCATACTCACTATGTACTGTTTCTGTGGATTCTCATGTTTGCGTTCAATGTGTTTCCTCAAGTTTGACTTTGTGTTGAATTTCTGGTTACAGCCATTATCTT